ATAGAAATTGCAAGGGACCCCAGAAAGCCAAAGCAATCTTGAAAAGGGAGGATAAAGTTCAGGGAAGTAAAATTCTCTTTTCAAAACTTAATACAAAGCTCCAGTAATCAGAACAGTGTTATATCAGCATAAGAATAGACATAGACCAAAAGAATAGAATTGAGAATCCAGAGAAAAACCCATACATCTATATAAAATTGTTTCTTCATAGGGGTGTCAGGACATTCAGAATTGAAAGATTCTGCTGGGATAACTGAATATCCATGTGTAACAGAATGAAATTGGACCCCTACCTCAAACCATATGTGTGAATTAACTCAGAATCAATGACCTAAATACAAGAACTAAAACTATAAGACTCTTTTAAATTTTTTTTGTAATACATGACAGCGGAATGTATTAAAATTCTTATTACACATATACAGCACAATTTTTCATATCTTTGTTATAAAACTCTTTAGATGAATACACAAGGGTAAATCTTCCCAGTCTTAGATTTGGCATTGGGCTGTTAAATAGGACAGCAGAAGCATAAGGGAAGGAAAAAATAGATAGATCAAAAATTCAAAACTGGGGCTGGGGTTGTAGCTCAGTGTTAGAGCACTCACCTAGCACATGTGAGGCCCTGTGTTTGATCCACAGCACCACATAAAAATAAAGGTATTGACAACTGCAACTAAAAAATTTTTTAAAAAAGAAAAAAAAATTCAAAGATTTTTTTTTTTTTTTTTGGCACCCCAGATTGAACTCAGGCATTCAACCACTGAGCCCCATCCTCAGCCCCATTTTGTAATTTATTTAGAGACAGTGTCTTGATGAGTTGCTTAGCACCTCGATTTTTGCTGGGGCTAGCTTTGAACTCACAATCTTCCTGTCTCAGCCTACGAGCTGCTGGGATTACAGGTAGTGCACCACCACGCCTGGCAAAAATTCAAAGCTTTTTAAAGGACATAAGAAAGTGAGAAGAATCTACTGAATAGAAAATATTTGTAAATCATTCATTTGATAAAAATCTAATCTCGGAGCTGGGGTTGTGGCTCAGTGGTAGAGCGCTAGCATGTGTGAGGCATTAGATTCAATTCTCAGCACCTCATGTAAATAAATAAAATAAAGGTCCATCAACAACTAAAAAAATATTTTTAAAAAAGAATTTAATCTCCATAATGAATGCAGAAAATAACAAATGTTGACAATGATATAGAAAAATTTGAACCCTCATAACATCACTGGTGAGAATGTTATATTGTACAGCTGCTGTGGAAAAGTTTGGTAGTTCCTCAAAAAGTTAAACAGAATTACCACATGACCTAGCAATTCTATTCCTAAATATACAACCAAGAGAATTGCAAACAAGTACTCAAAATACTTGACCAAATGTTCTAGTAGCACTATAATAATAGTGAAATGTTGAAAACAACTGAAATATCTACCCATGGAGGACTGGGTAAACACAGTGTGGTATATTTATGTAATAGTATATTAGCCATAATAAGAAATTAATTACCAGTTAATTCCTGTAATGCAGATAAACCTTAAAACAAGTATACTAAGTGAAAAAAGCCAGACACAAAGTTCATATGTGTATACTTCCCTTTATATCAAGTATCTAAATTGGTAAATCCATAGAGACAGGAAGCAAATTGGAGAATAGAAAAATGGAGTGTCCCACAGCTCATTTTATAAGGTTCATTTATTTAGATACCAAATTCAAACATTGGCAGTAACAAAGAGAAAAATTACAGGCCTTCAACACTTGTGAACACACATGCAAAATATCTAGGTTAGAGCGAGGCTTTGTGGTGCGTGCCTGTAATCCCAGCAACTGAAGCAGGAGGATCACAAGTTCAAAGCCAGCCTCAGCAATTTAGCAAGGCCCTAAGCAACTTAGTGAGACTGTGTCTCGAAATTTAAAATTTTTAAAGGGCTGGGATATATAGCTCAGTGGTTAAGTGCCCCTGGTTCAATCCTTGGTAACAACAACAAAAATTCTGGGTTAGAAGCTAGCAATAGAAATCTAATAATATAGTAATGTCTTTTAATGTAACCACATTCTCCAGCCCTCGTATCCCACCCCCGTACTGGCAATTAAACCTGGGAGCACTGTACCATTAAACTACATCCTCCCTGTTTTTAATATTTTTCCAATTTACCTTTTTTAATAATTTCAATACAATTTTTTTTGGTTTTTTTTTTAGAGAGAATTTTTTTAATATTTATTTTTTAGTTTTCGGCGAACACAACATCTTTGTTTGTATGTGGTGCTGAGGATCGAACCCGGGCCGCACGCATGCCAGGTGAGCGCGCTACCACTTAAGCCACATCCCCAGCCCTTCAATACAATTTTGCTAAGTTGCCCAGGCTGGCCCTGAATTTGTGATCTTCTAGCCTTAGCATCCAGAGTGGCTTGGATTACAAGGATGTGCCGCCTCCACCTTGTCTGGCCTTTTTTTTTTTAAATGAAGCCTCACTGTTGCCCAAGTTGGTCTGGAACTCCGAAGGCTCAAGTGATCCACCTGAGTGCTGGACTACAGACACATGCCACCACACCCAGCTACATTTCTATTATTAGATCTTACAAATATTTGCTGGGCAAAATGGCACATACCTGTAATCCCATCTGCTCCGCAGTCCAAGGCAGGAGGATCATTAGTTAAAAGCCAGCCTTAACAACAATGAGATGCTAATCAACTCAGTGAGAACCTGTCTAAATAGAATACAAAATAGGGCTGGGGATGTGGCTCAGTGGTCCAGTGCCCCTAAGTTCAATCCCCAGTACCAAAAAATATAAAAACTTAAAATATTAACAGTAGTATCATGAAATATCTCCATAATGTTTTTATTTTGACCCAAAATCCAAACAAAGTTTATTTATAGGGGTTTTGTTGTTTTATTTTACAGTACTGAGATTTGCATGCTAGGTAGGCACTATCCCTGAACTAACCCTCATCCCTGTTTATTTTTTGTTTTGAGGGAAGGTCAAGTTGCCCAGACTGGCCTGAAATTTGCAATTCTCCTACTTCAGCCTTCTGAGTAGCTAGAATTACAGGTGTGCCACACCATACCTGGCAAGGTTTATACACGGTATTGGTTGATATGTCTCTTAAGTCTCCATAAGTTCAGTGCCATTTCTTCGATTTATTTATTGAAAAACAGTGTACTTATATTGTATTCCCAATTGGATTTAACTGATTGCATCTCTGTAGTATTGTTTGACATATTCTATTTATATTTCTTATTAAAAAAATAGTTTGGTCTACAGGAGGGCTTAACATTCTGTAGCCCAAGGGCCAAGCCTAGGCCTCCGTGTGTTTTGTAATTAAATTTTCATTGGAATATACTGTGCCCATTCATTTACTTATTTTCTGTAACTGCTGTTGTGCTTCAGTAGTGAAGGACAGAGACCATAATGCTGGCCAAGCTTAAAATATTTACAGTGTGACCTCTGGTCTAGATAATTGATCTGATACCAATTCAGTTTTTTAGTAGTAATCCTTCATAGGTGAGGGTGGATTCACCATAAAAGTAGAAGTGCTGCTGGGTGCAGTGGCCTGTAATCCCAGTGACTCAGGAGGTTAAAGCAGGAAGATTAAAAAAACCAACCTAAGCCACTTAGCAAGACCTTTTACAAAATAAATAAATAAGGACTAGGGATGTGACTTGGTGATAAAGCGTCCCTAGGTTCAATCCCTGGTACCAAGTGGGGGAAAAAAAGTAAAATTGTCTAAAAAGACTCCCGTGTATTACATATTGATGTAGGACTAAAGTAACGTAAGTCAGTGGGGAAAAAAGATGTATTCTTTAATGTATGTTGACTTGGTTGGGTAGAGGGACAATTAGATGATTACCTGTCACCATACAAAAAACTAGAACAAAGACACAAACACACATCAGTCTAAGCCTACAAAGAATCAGTAGCATCAGTCTTTTTTCCATATTTTGCCCCACTGCAAGGTCTTCAGTGGCAGTGACACATGGAGCTGTCATGTGTAATAACAGGCCTTCTGGAATCCCTCCTGAAGGACCCACCTGAGGCTATTTTACAGTTCACTTTTTATTTTTCTTAGCAAGTGGAATGAGTACACTCAAATAATGATTAATGATAAAAAGTATCATAAGTACATAAACTAATAAAATTGTCACTTATTATCAAGTATTTTACTGTACATAGTTGTTTATATGACTGACATCATAGTAGGTTCTTTTATACACCATCACCCCAAGCACATGAGTAACACTATGATGTCATATAATAGCCACATCACTATCTTAATAGCACCAAGTATGGTATCTTGTTAACCAAAATGTCGTTATGTAGCACATGACTAGTGTCTATCATTTCTACATATTTAAAATGTTTTATAATTACCTTTAAAACAACACAGGTAGTTATGCACTCATTCTGGCTGTCAATTGTTCAGTGGGACCATTGCTATGGGCAGGAAGGGAGTACTATGGACAGCAGTGATCTACAGCCCTTGCTCCTTAAACAAAGCCTATAATTGCTCGAGTTAGTTATTTTGGTGGGTGGGAAACAGGCTTGTGCGTTGAGATTGTGTTCCTCAGAAGGCTGAAACAGCTATTTCCAGGTTCATGTTATTGAAATGGAGGCAGAGCATTGAGAAATGGGGCATATTACCACCTGCTGTCCTGCTTATGAACCTACAGTGTCACTAAAATTTCATCTACTGCTCATCAGAAAATCTGAAAATGCCAGAGGATCATCTTGGATTTAAAAGAAGTAGGCTTTCAAGTTTCAGCTTTCATATTGTCCTGCTGTCTCAGGTTTTGGTTCTTATGTTAATATATCTTAGGTGATGTATACTATATGTCTGCAATTAATAGCTTCAAATCGGTACCCTTCTCCATGGGACACCCAAGTGTTCCTACTTTCTATTTTTTAACCCCAATGGAGAAGTGTCACTGGGGGATCTACAAGGTGAACTCCACTTCTCTTCTGCAATAGACTAGGAAATATTCACATTGCACCCTGTTTCTTTCAGAACCCACAATACTTTGTATGCACCAGAAATGCTAGCCAAAATGGCAGAGCCTTTCACTAAGGCTCTGGATATGCTTGAAGCGGAAAAGTCTGCTATCTTAGGTAAGAAATCTAACCCTTTCCCCTACCAAGATCATCTTGTCTGTAATGGGGTCCTGAAGCAGCTTCAGTGTACCTTATGTATCACTATCTGACACTACCTTGACCACCTATTATTTGTTCAAAAATGCATTGGTGGAGTTCCTGCAGGCTGTATAAGACCAAGTATGTTCATGTCATTTTAGCATAGAGATCTTCACAGGCAAAATTTTCTTTTCTTTTTTCTTTTTTTTTCTCTTTCAATTTAGCTAGCAGGAAATTGTCAGTTTTATAAGTACCATGGCTTTTAACCCAAAAGATGTTAGTATACTTTCCTCCTTTCACATACATACATACATACATACACACATACATACACACACACATACACACACTTAATGTGTAATCAGAAAAATTGTTTTTCACTTTTTGTACCCAGGGCACTTAACCACTGAGACACATCCCCTGCCTTTTTTTGTATTTTATTTAGAGATAAGGCATGCTACTTGCCTCAGCCTCCCAAGGTGCTGGGATTACAGGCATGCGCCTCCTCACCCGGCTACTTTTTTAATACCTTTATTTACTTATTTGTTTTTCACATGGTGCTGAGGATCGAACCCAGTGCCTTGCATGTGCTAGGCGAGTGTTCTATCGCTGAGCCACAATCCATCCTTATAATCAAAAAATTTTTAAGAGTAGATTCGAAACCATGCTTTCCACTTTTTACCTTAATTCGGATATTACTTCAACTCGTTTTCAGCATCAGCACATTAGCATAAATCTAGCTATACAGTTATAATTGTGATATTTACTATGAAGGAAAGTAGCATGGCTTTTTGAGAGTGTTTATTGGGAGACCTAACCCAGTCTTCAGGGAATTCAGAAGTTGCTTCCCATTGTTTCTGAAAGATGAGTTGGAGCTAACTTGGATGGGTCAAAAGGAGATGCTGGACATTCCAGATAGACAATGCAGTGCAAGAGCCTGAGGCAGTCGGGAAAGAGCTTGGTATGTCCAGAAGGTAGAGACGGATAACTCATAGCTGGACACAGAGCAAATCTGGGAATGTGGTTAGAAATTAGAGTCAGAGGTATCAGAATTTTATGAACCTTGAGCCTATTTCTGAAGCTTCAGGCTGGGTCACCATCACAGCCTTCACAGTCTCTCTTTGTTCCCAGCCATAACCCCTCCTTGAGTCTGGTTGTGGTCAAGTAATCAATGAGTATTCCTTGGCTGTGAAGTGACCAAAGAAATGATGTTACTTTGTTTTTCAAGAGCTCATTATCTATCTGCCTTGGCCAGATGGTTCTAGATTTTTTTTCCCCTAAGTTCCACCACACTTAAGGTCTGTTCTGCAGGTACTAGTTAGAGTAGAACTTTTAAGACATATTGCCATTAATATAAAAATAAGCTTTTACATCACACACACCCCACCCCACACACAGACACACTATTCTACTACACAGTTAAGCCAGGGACTCCTGCTATAAAAATCGAGCCAGATAGAGTAGAGTGGACAAATTCTGGGTGAAGCTTCCCTCTGGTAGCTTCTGACTATGACTTGAAATATAAAACTGCTGCTGCTTATCATTAAAGGCAGTTATTATACCAAGATAAATGGATTTTTTTTTTTTTTTTTTTTTTTTTTTTTGCTGTACATTTTGGGCTTTTGCATAAGATTTTTGCTTGAAAAAGGGGGTTCACCAGCTTGGGGTGGGCAGTCAACCCAGTGTTTTACAGAGAGATCCCTTTGCATTGTCACTATGTGTTTTGTTGCCAGACCCATCTGGGAAAACCAAGTCCTGTGTACTTAAATAGCATCCACCTTTTCCTACCAGGAGAGTGTAACTAATCACCTACCCTTAGGAAAGCTCTTAGCACCTCCAATGCTTGCTGTAGGGTGTTGGCTATTTAAGACTCCTGGTAATGGAGTAGCATGTTCCTGGCCCATCTTTCTCTATAGGATTACCTCAACCTCTCTTGGAACTCAATGACTATCCTGTCTATAAAACAGTCTTGGAAAGAATGCAGCGTTTCTTCAGCACCCTTTATGAAAACTGGTAAGGAACCAATGCTGTCTCTCTATGTTCTCTTCCTGAAACATTAATTTTATAGGAATGGCGATGGGTTAGACCTCTGATCTAGAATTCCAGGGTATAGGTAAGGTAAGGCAAGAATTTGAAGGGAAATTAATGATTCTATTATTGAATCAAAATGAACAGCCTGCTTTTCCTGTTACCCAAGCCTCATGGTCCTAACCATGAGTTGATGTTTAATGCCTAACATATCTATGCTTCTGGTGAGATAAAATGGTGAGACCCAAGTAGAAGATAGATTGGTGGGGTTGCATTTGCTTAGATCCCTCACTTTGTACAATCTACTTGTCAACAGGATTTTGTCTATGGGTCCTGATTGTGGAATGGGACTCTCAAACACACCACACCTAGGACTTTGGCCTCAGTTAACCACTTGTCTAATCCACAAACAATTGAGTCCCTCCATTATTAAGTCCACAATTTAATAGTAATGAGGCTACTATTGATTTTGGCTACCAACATCTATCTTTTAAATGGATGCTGGGTCTGCTTTTGAGTTGCTTCCTTGCAGGGAGTGTGAGGGGGGAGTTATTCTCACTTTTTTTTTAAGTTGTTGATAGACCTTTATTTTATTTATTTATATGTGGTGCTGAGAATCGAACCCAGTATCTCACACATGCCAGACAAGTGCGTACTATTGAGACACAGCCCCAGCCCTATTTTCACTCTTTGATGAAATATTCAGTCTAGGGGCTGGGGTTGTGCCTCAGCGGTAGAGCACTCACCTCGCACATGTGAGGTCTTAAGGAATAAATACAACTGCTTTTCTACTAGAAATCTAACTGTATTAAAAATGAAATTCTTGGTGCAGTCAGTACTGACAATAACAGATCCTGCATTTGTCATTGCCAATGATTTTGCCTTACAGTTTCCATATCCTAGGGAAGGCAGGCCCTTCCATGCAACAAGATTTCTACACCGTGGAGGATCTTGCCACCCAGCTCCTTGGTTCAGCCTTCGTCAACTTGAACAATATTCCTGACTACCGACTCAGACCCATGCTTCATATCCTTTCAAAAGTCCCTAGATAACCCAACAGGTCAGAAAATTGGAGACAGGAACCAAAGCAATTGCAAGGAAGAGATGTAATTATCTAAGTGCGTCATAATCTTATTAAAGAAAGAAAGATTTAAGTAAATAGCAAGAAAAATATGAAGGTGTCCAAGGGGATCTTAAAAGCTCTCTCTGTCTTAGGCGTTTTTCCTTGGGGGTAAATCTTTCCCTTCCCATTTCTTGTCAGGTGTTTCCTTTTATTTATTTATTTTTTTAAGACAGGGTCTCGCTATGTTGCCCAGGCTGTCCTTGAACTCCTGGGCTCAAGCTAACCTCCCAAGTAGCTGGGATTATAGGTGTGCACCACCACACCCAGCCAGTCCCTTTTTTATGTTGTTGTATTTCTCCCCTAAAGTTATAAGAATGATGAAGTTTTATTACAAGGACGTCCTTACCTTTTTTTTCCCCCCCATCCTTCCTTTTGGTTAACCCAGTTGGGACAGAAAGAACATTTAAACTAAAAACATAATGAAATTGAGTATCAATGCAGCTTAGGATTTTAGGAGAGCATGAAGCTTTTTTTTCCCGTTTTGTTCACTGCACTACTGGGGATCAAACTTAAGGCCTTAGGGTCCTAGGCAAGTGCTCTGCCACTAAGCTACACCCAAGCCTAAGACTTTTCCTTATTAACACTTTTCCTTATTATGTTCTTGGCATAGTAAGTACTTTAGGGGTGCAACCCACTGCCTAGCAGGTAAGGGATTGAGCTCATGTGCCAAAACTTCTTAACCTATTGCAGCACGGGTGTTTGTGAAGCCTCTGGTGCTCTTCTGTGCCCCAGAGCACTATGAAGCCCTGGTATCTCCCATCCTTGGACCTCTTTTCACCTACCTCCACATGGTAAGAGATAGGTCAGGAAAAGAGGGCAAAGAGTACTCTTGGGATGTGTGGCCACTCCTGAGTCTTACCAGTTAGGAGCGCCTTAAAAATGTTTCCTAGCCCTGTCAGGCTGCACAGAGCTCCTACCACAGTGGACTGTTGTTGCTGAAATGGATTGAGCAGCCATCAGAGTAGTAGACTGACTTAGTTGCCCATGATGCAGATTCTGCTTCTGACTGCCTATTAACTGAGGAGAGGTGGTTAGGGAAATGCTTCCTCTGCATCTGGGTCTCTTACCCTGGAATTCAGCAAGAAGGCCTGCTGGACAGAGAACAGGTGTCCAGAAGCCCAGGAATTCCAAAAATAATGTTAATCTTTTCTAAATAAAGGTGTTTGATAGGCTGCCCCTCATCATGAAAAAGAGAGGTTACAGAAACCATATTTGTTTCTTCATATTTGTAACCTTATGGTGAGGGCGGGGGGGAGTCTCTACCATAGTACTAGAATCATCCTTGGCTAAATGTGTTAAAAAGAATACTTTGTAGTGAGGCACAATGGTACATGCCTATAATCCCAGTAACTTGGGGGGGCTGATGCAAGAGGATCACAAGTTTGAGGCTAACCTCAGCAACTTGGTGAGACCCTGACTCAAAATAAAATATAAAGAAGACTAAGGGTATAACTCAGTGGTAAAGCACCCCTGGGTTCAATCCCTAGTATAGAAAAAGAAAAAGTAGAATTTAGATTTTGTGTGTTCGAAGGCCCTCCCCAGCCTTAGTACTCACATCCTTTGTGTTTTCCCAGAGGCTTTCCCAGAAATGGCAAGTCATCAACCAGAGGAGCCTACTATGGTAAGGAATACCCATACTCCTTGAGGGGTAAACTGGAAGCTAGGTTTGGGTAGGGAAACAAAAAGGGCAGGGATTCTGTTGACCCAGATCTAAAATAGCAGTGGGTTATGGTCATTCTCAGCCTAGGTGGTAGATGGTTTGTCTGGATAGGTTGAGACCAACCCTTTACCTTAGGTACTTAGGATTTTGATCATCCTGAATCCTCTAATTGGACAGAGTCACAAGTAATAATAATAATGTCCCTCAGTAGGTCATTGCTGTCCATTCCCAACATGTTCATAGAACACAGACCCAAAGGGATCCAGGAGAAGTAAGTGGGCACAGAAGGTCTGGAGAGGATCCCTGCTTGCTTTGTCCTTCCCTCTTTACAATCCTATGGAACTTGGCTTTCTTGTTTTGGGCAGTGGAGAAGATGAAACTGTGGAGGAAAACCCAGAGTCTCAAGAAATGCTGGAGGAACAACTGGTGAGGATGTTAACCCGAGAAGTCATGGACCTAATCAGTAAGTGGCATGTGGGAACCAGGGGTAGTAGAGGAGAATTTTCCTGGAAAAAGAATTCCTCACTCAACCATCCCCATGAAGGCTAGGTTGATGCAAAGATTCAGGTTTGCAGCAATACTGACAGGTTGGTAAGAAATGACTAGCTAGATAGAAGCTAGCTAGTCCTTAAGTCAACCTAAGGACATTTTATGAATTGTGAATTGAACATACCAAGTCCAAAATATGAAGAAGTGGTTTAAAATAGGAGGAATTTGGATTAATGTTAGGAATAACTTCCTAACTTTGTCGAAATAGGGAAAATTTTATAGGTTGTTAACTTTCTTTTCCATTTTTTGGAAATGTTGAAGGAAACAGTAGTTGATCGTTTGATTTATTGGTGATCCAAAGTTTTGGCCAGGGATGTATCATCAGTCGTCTATCCTCATCACTTATTCTCAGATGATTGGATTTGAAAGGGGACCAGAACATATTCTGGGTAGGGAAACAAATTCGTAAGAATGCCTCTGTTTCTCTTGGTAAATCTGATTTTTGTGCCTTGGACAGTACCCTATTTCCTCCCCTCTTCACCTGGCCAGAGACAGTTTGGGACCAGTTGGCCTAAAGTGACTGTTGTCCAGTGGTAAGATATAACCCTCCCTTCACCCAATAACCCCTGCTTTCTTGCTTCAGCGGTTTGCTGTGTATCAAAGAAAGGTGCTGACCACAGTACTGCTCCCCCTGCAGATGGAGATGGTAAGTGAACCTATTGCCTGACCTCAAAGGTCTGCTCTTAGACTCCTAAGTATTGTTCTTTGGAACCAGTTCAGTTCCTGTATAAACTGTTTCCCTAGTAAGTTGATGAGAATGAAATGTAATCATTAACTGAATCTGTGCCAGCGTTTGTGCTGTATTTTCTCCAGCATAATCCAATTGCAGAGCCTTTTGCACTTACTGTTTCCTCTATCAAAAATTATTTTCTTCCAGTTGTATACATGGCCACTTTTCTTATTTCACTTATGTCTCTGCTCAGATGTTACCTCTTCAAAGTCTTCTGTGATCAGATTATCAAAAATAGCAAACCCAGCCATCCTGTATTTTTTATGGCATTTCTCACTACCTATCTTTGTGTTTTATGTATTCATTTATAACCTGTCTCCCTGATGAGAATGTAAATTCCCATTAGGGAGGGGACTCTATCCTATTCCTTTTATATCCCCAGCAACTAAATCAGTGCCTTTCACAGTGGGTGCTTACATGTTGTTCAGCAATAAAGATCTTCAGCATCTGCAGCTTAGGTTACTGCCCAGCAGTTCCCCAGTTTCTCACATGCACAGCTAGACGCATCTCCAGACCTGCCATGGGCTTGGGCTTTTTTAATCCTTCCATCTCAGATGAGGGTGACCTAATACTAAGCATCAGCCAGTCCAGTACACTCAACTTTGCTTTTTGGGCTTCTGTCAGAACAGGATTCTTCTGTGTTGTGAAAAGATGGAGCTTAACATTCTGCTCTGCTTACAGATGAGGAGATGATGGCCACAGAGGTAACCCCTTCAGCTATGGCGGAGCTTACAGACCTGGGAAAATGTCTGATGAAGCATGAGGTGGGTGGAGGGGATAGGTGATGCCACTGTCTCACCCTGGCCTAAAGCTCTCAGAAAAATAGGCATATTGTTTCAAAATCCCTGTGTTTAGCCTCCCCCAGGCTTAAGGTTTTGTCTCTGTCTTACACTACATCTGCCATATTGTCATTTTGTTTTTGACTGCCTGATAAGCAAAAGTAAAACCCAGTAAAGCTTCGATATTTTCATGATTACCTATTAAAAATTTTAACTCCTGGGCATGATGGTACATGACTATAATCTAATCCCTGCAATTCAGGGAACTGAGGCAGGAGGCTAGCCTCAGCTATTTAGTGTGAGGCCCTAAGCAACATGGTGAGACCCTCTCTCAAAATAAAAAATAAAAAGGGCTAGAGATGTGGCTCAGTGGTTAAGCCACCCAGGTTCGGGTTTAATCCCTAGTAGCCCACCCCCATACACCCCCCCCCCAAAAAAAAAAAAAAAAAAAAAACAGCTCCTGATGTATAAAAAGTCTAAGAATTTGTGCTTATTTTCCCATATTAATCCTTCCTTTCCTGTTCAGGATGTTTGCACAGCACTGTTAATCACAGCCTTCAATTCACTGTCTTGGAAGGATACTCTCTCTTGTCAGAGGACAACCACACAGCTCTGCTGGCCTCTCCTCAAACAAGTATGTTTAATCACTCCTTTTCCCTGACTATCACATAAGGTGTGGGTCAAGCAGATTGACTGAATCAGTTGGAAGAATTGGGGAGTTGGGACCTTCAGAGAAGGCCCTGAGCACAGCTGTCTCCCCAGGTGCTGTCAGGGACACTGCTCGCAGATGCCGTCACGTGGCTTTTCACCAGTGTGCTGAAAGGTTTACAGACACATGGGCAGCATGACGGGTGCATGGCTTCCCTGGTCCACCTGGCATTCCAGATATATGAGGCACTGGTGAGTGGCAAGAGCATGGGGACAAGGCATCTGTGGCTTTTTCACTCAGCCTATTTCCAGGATTGTGGGCCTTATCCTAAAAGTAGATATCTGCCAAATTGCTAATGTTGCCATTGTGGTGGGGTAGCAGGGTCCAAACTTACATCAAGTGAGTTTATCCCCACTTTTTAGCGCCCCAGGTACTTGGAGATCAGAGCTGTGATGGAGCAAATTCCAGAAATACAGAAGGACTCTCTGGACCAGTTTGACTGCAAACTTTTGAACCCCTCCCTACAGAAAGTGGCTGACAAGCGACGGAAGGACCAATTCAAACGCCTCATTGCTGGTTGCATCGGGGTAGGTTATGCACCTCCATCAGTATTCCCAACCTTACAAGGTTGTTTGTGGTCTTCTTAGACCACATGTGTAGGTAACCATAATCCAACTGTAGTCATTGACCACTATGATGGGATGTTCTCTAACCCACTATCCAGGCCCAGTATTAGTCTTTTCTCATTTGTTTTCTACAGAAACCCTTGGGAGAGCAATTCCGAAAAGAAGTTCACATTAAGAATCTTCCCTCGCTTTTCAAAAAAACAAAGCCAATGCTGGAGACAGAGGTGCTGGACAATGAGGGGGGCAGCCTGGCCACCATCTTTGAACCATGAATCAAGCTCCTGGGCATCCTTCCTCGGCCTTTATTGTCATCTCTTCTTCCCCCTTCATAGCTGATCTCTAGGCCCCTCTTGCACTGCCACCTCACTTTCCACCATGGTCAGCCTGGAGACAGATCCAGGTCTGCAGCTGAAGAAGAGTGGGCCCTGTGCAGGGCCACAAGTTATTCTACTTATCAAGAAAGGGAGTCAGGGCTTACGCCATTCTGTCAAGACGTTCCCATCCTATTTGGGAGTTTTGGCTTTTTCAAGAAGAGCTAGAGCAGAGCAGCCCTTCTCCCCAAGCCCTCCCACCCCTATGCAGCATACCCAAGCAAATGGGAACTAGGGGTGCTGTGCCTAGCCAGGGCTCAGCCCTCAACCACTTGTGCCGGAGAGCTTCTCCTGGACCACTGCATCCCAAAGCCCCTTGCTGCTGGGCTAGCAGGGACCCTTCCACACACCCAGTGGCATGTCTGGTTTAGGTGCTAAGTACTGAGCTGAATTTGGCCAGTTCTCATCTTTGTTTTGATCAAGAATCTGGTCACCCAATGGGATCCATAGTACAGGCTACTACTAAAGTCTGGGCACAATATCAAGTGTAGTATCTCCAGGAACCAAGGCTGGGTAAGGTTTAGTGCTAATATCCCCCCTTAAGCTCACACATCTCGCCCTTTCACAAATGACCCTGACTTTTTTGTTTCCGCAGTGTCTGGGTCTACTCAGGCATTAGAGCCACAGTACCCTATTCAGTGTCACATGACACCATTGTCATCCAAGGATAATCCAGATCAACTAGACTTAACATCTGTGACAAGCAGCTAGCAAAGCCACTGGTCTCCTTCTAGGACTAGCTGAGTCCCAGGTGCCTTTAAAAATCTCGTGGTCTTACACGCCCTTGGTTGCTTTTCTCAAGGGTCATTTCCAAAAGAATACATAGGTGGGGTGGTATGTGCCTGTAATCCCAGCAGTCTGAGGCAGAAGGATCACATGTTTGAGGCCAGCCTCAGCAACTTAAGAGAGACCCTGTCTTAAAATTGGGGAAAAAAGGACTGGGAATGTGGCGTAGTGGTAAAGCACTCCAGGTTCAATCTCCAGTACCAAAAAAAAAAGAAATTGTATCTATCACAACCTGTACTGAGTCCATCCTATAGGTCACTGGAAGGCCCTGGAAGCAGAGGGAAATGTGGATGTGGGACCCACCCCCTGAAGTAATTATCACAAGGCAGCCTTGATCCATATAGAAAGCAGAATGCCTATGTGCTCTGCACAGGACAGGCCTGCCATCCATCCAGTTCACAAATTAGGGTTTCAGTGAGAGAGTAGACAGAAGCCTGCAGCTTTTAGCTGGGGCAGGTCACAGGCACTACAAGGTTGGAGAGAAGCAAAGCTGGGAAAATGGAACTTAAAAGAGTGTTACATGGTGTCTCTGTTGCACAAGTCTGTTCCCTTTTTCTGCAAGGTGCTTTGGGCTTCTATTGATTGTGAAGGTGATCTCAAAGAATATCTCCCTCCAAACTTGATCGCTGCCTACTCTATTTGGTTGGGGCTGTGGAGGGTACAGTTGTATTTATTATGTTGTAATATTTTTAACATTCTGTGACTTCATGCTAGAAATTTTCTATTGTTTATAGAACCTTTTTGTAGAAATGTTTAACTCTAAAGCACATCTGCATGTCAGTAAAAATCTCAATTTCATACAGAAAGGGCCCTATCTGCCTTTTTCAAATTGGTCTTTAAACCAGTGACATGTTCCAGGGTTAACATCTTCATTGAGCATCCTGTAGGGGGAACTAGACAGGAAGAAAATTGTGACTGATGGGTCTATTATTAAGCTTTCTAAAATAGTATGCCAATTAGGAAACTGTCTTTTTCTAGGCTACCTCTAGGCACCATTCCCTTTCCTGTGTGGCTACTGGGCCTGACCCTGGTTTTTGTTTTTATAGATCAACATAGTTCAGTTGAACTGCTATGGACAACCCTTTTTTCTGTAAGGAACTTGCCTGGTAATCCAGGACATAGGTAAATTTGGCATATTCACTCTGGTTCCTTCTGTACAGAAGGTTTGACTGTGCCCGCAGAAAGCACCTCAGTTTGGCCTTTTTGGTATTGGGGATTGAATTCAGGAGCACTCGGCCACTGACTCACACCCCCAGCCTTATTTTGTATTTTAATTAGAGTCAGGGTCTCATTGAATTGCTTAGCACCTCACTTGTGCTGAGGCTGGCTTTGAACTCACAATCCTCCTACCTCATTCTGGAGAGCTGCTACAGGTCCGCCCAGCAGGAAGTTTTTAAAAGGACTTGGCTTCAAGGGCTGGGAATGTAATTCAGTGGTAAAGTGCCTGCTTAGCACACTCAAGGCCCCAGGTTCAATCTCCAGTACTACCAAAAAAAAACTTGGCCTTAACTTGCACTGACATTGGCAGTGAATCCAATGTTCTTGATTGCTAAATACCAAACCTGTTCTGAGATGAGGCCCCATACCTTGAGACTCAAAGTCAAGAAGTAGTCTTAAAAAAAGGATTTTGTTTGGACATGAATTTATTTACATCAAAGGCCTTACAAAGGCATAAAGTCTCATTCTGTAGCACATTTAACAAAATATACTGATGGAAAATAAAGCTGGAATTAGACCTCTAGTCACACTGAGTATAGTAGTCCCCTTGGGGCAGGTCAGAATCCAGGAGCATCCAACTCCATACATCCCAGTATTTCTGGTCCAAACTTCAGTCCATCTGAACTGCATCTAGTTCATCCAAGAAGCGCCGGCACTTGCCCATCAATACTTTGATAGCTTCACTCACCAGCACATCTGGTGGCAACACTCCAGTTGACTCTACAGAAACTGGGAACCAAAGAAACACTACTTCAGCCCAGGCAGGACTTTTCTTTAGGAAGCTGTTATAAATTATTTCTAAATTCCACATATGGACTCTGAAAGGAAACTATAGCAATACAAAGTATCCACAGGCATACACTCCACCAGTTCTTACTCACAGATGTAATGATCTCGAACACGGGCAAGCCGCACAACCTTCTTTAGCTTCTCATTCCGAAAGATTTCCCTGCTAAAGGTATCCAGCCGGGGATTGGCAACTCTGGCCACCTTTTTACCTAATGAAAACAAATCCCGTCATACTTTGTCTATTAGGGTCCAAAGCTTTTATTTCTTTTTGTCAGTTTCAAAAGAAAATAGATCCTCATCTGAACAGCATCCCAAACACCATACCTTGCACTTCTTGTACTTCAATAACACCAGGTGAAAAGCACTGGCTCAGTTCCTCAGCTGCCTCCCCTTCCACAGGTTCAAGTAGAGTGATGTCTGGCAGAAGCCTGTAACTAGCTGTTGCCACTGGTGAAAATTTGGCATGATCTTTTCCTGGAATGTTGAGGAGAATCATTCTTCAGAAACCTTTCTTCATTCTCCTGAACCACTGATAAGACAAACCTATTGACTTTCTGCCTGTCAGCAACATCTCAACTCAGTTCCCATCACACTTTGTGCCACTATAATCAAACCCAAGGTAGGCCCATAGGGTTCTCACCAATGCCCTTGACACAGTGCATTAGCAGATCAATCTCCTGACCAGGCCGCAGCTGAGCAATGAGGATATCATCATGTACCGGGCGGATAGTGCCTTCTGGAAAGACGTCAGCCTGGTTCCCCAAGGGGACCCATGTCATATGCCTGGTATATACTAAAGAAAACACATCAGAAGACCCCAGCCACTGAAACCAGAACCCACCAGCAGGTGGGTCCTCTTCCTCACCCTACTGGCTCACCTTTGTGGTTCACATAGAGTTCATTGGGGTCAGAGGAATCTTTAGCAGCATGGGGATTCCGGGTACATCTGACCTGGAGCCGAAATTGCAGTGTGTCTATCTCTGTGCCTTCTTCATCTCCTGAACAAATGGAGGAGGCAGCTCTTTTTACTACTGAACAGCTAAGAGTATCAGGTATTATGCTACAAGATTTACATACATTTTTCATATTAATCCTCTTGACAAACTTTGGAAGGCAAGGGCAAGTGTCTTCAGTTGAAAACTGATGTTACCCAAAGATGAGTAATTTGCCCAAGGTCATACAGTAATCAGTCTAGGATTTGAACCTAGGCAGTCTAATTCTAGGTTATTCAAGAGAGCCAGTTCCAACTCTCCCAAAATTTCATTTTCTCAAACCCTCACCTTGGTTCCGATATTCAAAAAGACGAGGATCAGCAAGAATGGGAATGAGCCCCAGGCGGTGTGCAAGGATCTCATCCTGAACAATGGATGTGTTGTTGTATACCAGGACTTTTTCCACAGCCATTGTTGGTACCTGCTCAAGGAAAAAAAAAAAATCACCTGTACAACAGACAACTTCCTACTTCCTAAGATAGAGAACCCTTCCTAGAAGAATGCTTAATGAAATTTACATTTACAAAGGAAAAGAAAATCTCAGCACAGTTCTAGGGGAAATAAGGGGAGGGACAGCTTGAGAATTCTACAAGTAAGGTAATAATACAGTTCCCCACACAACCCCAGTTTTGCTACCATGCCTGCCAATACCTCAGCTAAAAGAATTCTTCTAAAAGCATTGGCAATGGCTGCATCAATTCCCACCATGTCAAACTCCAGTGAGTTTTCATCCATGTGTACCACATCCACACGGAAATTCTAGAGGGACAGGAAAAATGTTAGAAGTGAATCCTGCTTATTTATACTTATGTTTTCCCCTGGATACTTCCCTCATCCAAATATCTCCCTCTACCCAGATGACCCTCATTAGATATTCATCCTCCCCCAAACCATCCTTTAGTTTCTTCAAAAGTTGTTTTGGTTTTGTCCTCCATTAAGTGAAAACCCTATGCAATATGGCTTCCAGTTGAACCATCCACAGATGATACCCTAAAAAACACAAACTTCCATACAGTGTAGTCCAGTTGATTCTAGGCAATCCTTTCCTTGACTATTAGTAGCACTTGACATTATTAATTAAAAAAAAAAAAAAATCCCTCCTTTTTCAATTTGTTTCCTTGGTTTCTGAGCACCAAT